GTTTCATCATTGCTGAACGTAGATCGAGTCGACATCTGTGAAAAAATTGGTATAATTTACCTTTGAAAATTTCTTTGTAGCTGACACGTGTTCTTCTTTCTCCGTCCGACGTCACCAATTATGGGTACTAGGACGTTGTGTATCTCTCTTGCTTAACGATTTCACTTTCACGTACGGAGTCACCAGTTATGGCGCTAGTGGGCCATTTATTATTAAATATTATTATTATTAGAAGTGAAACCGCAATGCTGATGTTGCCTCGTTGGTGATGTCAGTTTATTGAACACTCATTTTATAATAAAACTCGATTTATAATTATATCAATTTCGATATCATTTTAAAGTCCCGACAAAATGCTCGATGATTAAAACCCAATCAATTTTACGATCGTCCTAAAACAAAAATCTACTCAGCTTGCTTGATGTGAAGTTTGCATCAGAGAAGCTCAAAGGATGCTGTGAAGTTTTGTCATCAAATTGGCGTAATTCAACTGACATCTGTCACGTGGCCGTGTTCATTCCGCCATATATATATATATATATATATATATATATATATATATATATATATATATATATATATAACAAATGTATTCTGAGTCGATAATAGATATTAATTTTGAAATATGAACAAACAACACTCTTCTTGCACTAATTTATTAAATAATAATTTTCACAAACGTTTCGAGACTAGGTTTGTCTCATCATCAGTGTGTTATAATTAAAAAAAAAAATTTTAAATATGGAAATCTAAATTAGCATTTTGTGTTTTTCATTACAAGTCGTTCACTGCTCGCTGCTCTTTTAATACCAACGGTCTTCGGTGTTTCTCTCCCACTTGAAAACCACTTGAAATTGTAATGTCACGCAATTAGATAGGAAGAAAGGATTAGGGTCCAGTTGAAAAATAGATGTCGTTAGGAGAAAAAATATTCTATGATGAGATGGTTTGTTTATAAGATTTGTTATACATTGTTATAATTAAAAATGTATGTACATCTATATATAAGCTACAAAGTATTAATGAGATTCAGATATGTATCATGTAATATATTGGTATCTGTCCGTAAATTTACTGTGTTACTTGTATGGGCTATTAACATCGATTCTGCAATACTTCTTTTAAATAAATCTTGTTCATAATATAAAATGTGCGGATTATTGAAATCGAAACTATGGCTGTTAGAGATAGCGTGGTCTACAAGTGTACTTTTTTGTTGTATGTTATTATTCTTACTTTGTTTGCTTTGTAATTCGTGCTGTCTTAATCTTTTTTCTAAATTTTGACATGTTTGCCCAATATAAGATGACTCACAGTTCAAACAGTTTATTTTGTACACCACATCTTTTCTTTTTTTAGTAGGTGTATTGTCTTTAATGTTTGTGTATATGTCTTGCAGTTGTAGTAAGGGTGACACGGATATGTTAATATTATGTTTATTAAAAAGCCTTTTAGATAAAAGGTGTAAATCTTTGTCTATATGTGGAAAATTCACAAAACATTTATTTTCTGATACAGACAAGTGATTTCAGCAATGTGTGGTTATTGATTGTTTGTCTAATAAAAATTTAATTCTATTTCTAATTATTGGACTGATTATTTTGTAAGGGAAACTATTCATGAGTAATGTGTTAATGACTAATTTGATATTGTGATTATGAAATTTTGGGTTAGATAAAAGAATTGCATGGTCTACTAAACTGAGAACTGTGGATATCTTTATATTGAGAGGCGTAAAAGAATTAAAATTAATATACCTGCCTGACCAGCTATCTTTCCTGAACCAATTGGTAATGCAAATACCGCCGTCGTTAATGAGCTGAACATCAAGAAAATGTATAGAGTTATCTTTTTCTAATTCTTGTGTAAATTGTAAATGAGAATTATAATTATTAAATTTTTGAAATATGTTCTCTGTATCATTTTTGTTAATTAATAAAAGCGTGTCATCGACATATCGAAATATAGTAGTGGTTTGCAAATTGTAGAATTCAACACACTGTTCTCTAAATCTTGTAGCACCAAGTCTGCTAAAACGGGACTTAAAGGACTTCCCATAGGACATCCTCTAATCATAGTATAAAATTTATTATTGAATTGGAAATATGAGGCCTTCAGTAGTAAATCTATTCCAGAAATGAATGTTTTGAGAGGTAGTGAAGTGTATTCAACAATTTGCAACCATCTACTCCTAATGGCGGTGATAACTAATTTATGTGGAATGTTGCTGAAAAGATTAATAACATCAAAACTAACGAAGGAAAAATTATGAGGGATCTTGAAGTCCTTTACGCGATCTACTAAACTGTATGAATTGTTCAAAAAATATGGCGAATTAACCGTAACATTTTTTTAAATTTTGGAAAAGAATTTAGATAAATTATAATAAGGTGAATCAATGTATGAAACTATAGGTCTGAAAGGGCAGTTAGGTTTATGGATTTTGGGAAGGCAATAGAATTTAGGTACTAGAGGGTGTTGGATTTTTAATTTTAGGGCAATAGAATTGTTGATGTGACCTTTTTTTTCCAAAAGATTGATGTATTTAAAAGCTTGTCTATGGTGGTAATTGTTCGGATCACTCGGTAACTCTTCATACATTGTTTTATCTTCTAGGATGTTCATTGCTTCATTTTCATAATTATCCCTTAACAGAATTACTGAAATATTTCCTTTATCAGCTTTACATAAAATTAATTGGAAATTCTCTTTTAGGAAGGTTTTTGCAGCTTTTATGTCCCGATGAATGTATGCTAAGTTATTTATTGAATTAATGTTTTGTTTATTATTCTTCAAAATCTTCAATAATTTTTGTATGAAAGTGACCCTGATGAAATTTATATCCTTTTCCGTTGGATTCTTAATCAATTTAAGTCCTGCTTCCAGACTGCTTATGATTTTTATTATGTCATTGTATTTTAAATGTTTTTTATGAATGGCAAATTTTGGTCCTAAGGCTAGAATATATTTTATGTTATCTGGTATAATTGTCTCTGTTTTATTAATGAGCCATTTGTTCCAATCTAGTCCTACGTTTAATATTGGATGTAATTTGTCTCTAATTTCTATTAATTTCAATAGTTTTTGTTGTTGTTTGGCTTTAAAATGATTGAATTTTTTATTATATTTTTTCTGTTCGAGCTTAAAGAATTTTTCATACTCATCTAATGCTAATATTTCTTGTATATCATGTTTAAGATTAACTATTGTTTTGTTCAACGAAATGATGTCTTTTTCACTGGTCGAAATTTCAAACTTCAATATTTTGTTATGTACTATTTGTAAGCTATTTTGTAATTTGTGGTTTGTTTCATAAGGTGTATTTTTGAACGAACAAGTGTTGAGGATGAAATTTGGTAACACATTTTCATGCTTACATTTAATGAGAAAATTCCGCTTGTTAATAGTCTTCGCTAAGGTGAGATGCATTGTCGATAGATGTTTACATCGATTTGCGGTTTCTGCTCCATATTTTGTGTGCACTAATTTGAAATAAGATTGATCCATTTTGAAGTTCACGGAATAATATAACAAATGTATTCTGAGTGGATAATAGATATTAATTTGGAAATATGAACAAACAACACTCTTCTTGCACTAATTTTGGTGTGGCCTTGATTCGATCAGTAGACCACACGGATGGCTGGTAATCGTGGACTGTATATGGAAACTAAAAACGTTCTTCTTCTATGATAATAACAAACTAAAAAATGACCTCACTTTGGTCAATAAAAGGAAACTCAACAAAACTTCTAAACTCGACTGACTCGGAAGGAAACTCGAAAATGAACCAAAGAAAGAAAGCCAGCTGTAAGCGTACTGATAACGCACTGGAATCGAATTGAATACGGAACTAGATAGAACCCGAACTGAAAATGCACTGGAAGCGAAGTGAACTGGAAATCAACTCGAATGGAATGAACCACGTGTCGGAAGTCATAGGTCAAAGTTTTGGAAGGAAAGAGACAGGTAGTCTGGATTAGAAAGGAACAAATCGGTTGGCATATTGTAACCCCGAGATGGCGACTATATTATTATTATCGACGCATGTAATAGTCAGTGGCGTCACCATTTCTTCCCCGGGCGAAAAAGGGTACCTTTTTAATACTAGAAAATATAAATGGAAATATCAAAACCATTAGTCAAACTATGCAAGGAATAAAACACATGAGAGATGGTGAAGAAATAACATGTTGATTCTTAATTGAATCTAGAAAGTAAGTTAAGTTTTGATGGAATATCTAATGCTTCTATGTTCACCCATCAGAATCAATATTAAGGATAAGTAATCTTGACAGGAAAGCAGTAACCTTGTTATTTGTTTGAACTCTATTATAGTTGCTCAGTACCTTGCTGTAATAATGCTGCCAAATTTCATTCTCTGCTATAGCAAATGATTTTTAATATTTTCTATTAATGGATATCACTTCCATGAGACTTGCATATAGCACCACTGGAAATTATTTTAGGTTTGCATCATACATGCTTGTTTTCGGAACACATGAAAATTTGTCTTTGTGGAATTATCAATTGTCATATCTAAGATGCCTTTATGTCGAATAGGAATTAAAATTTCATTGACCTTGTTTCGTGGATTTGTTGATAATGGTGGTAGTTTATTTTGAGTAACCAGCATGGTTTAAAACAACCAGTTCGTATTTGGAATGTGTCCAATATGGGGCCGTATTCATTTCCAAATTAAAGGCATTTTTACAATAACTGCAATATTATGATGATTCATAGCGTTCGATCTTCTTGAATGTACAGATTTTTGAATATTATCAAAAGTTGTGAGAACAACTGAGCAAATAACATTCTGCTCTTGAGTGTGATTGAGTTGTCATGCGATTCCTCTGAATAGAAGCAAGTTACTGATAAAGTTACTACATATAATGGTAAAAGGTAAAAGGAAGGAATTAATTAAAGGTAACAAATAAAGCATTAGACTCTTTTTTTTATATCGTTTGCAAATATGAAAAAACATATTTCTTCATCATAAATTACTGTGTAGGTAGGGGGCAGAGCTTTACCACAGGGCGTTTCAATAACGTAGCCCTGGTTCTTACTAAAGCTGTGCGCACCTCTCCGTCTTTTCCAGGAAAAACGTCTTCAATAACCCCCATAGACCACTGAAGAGGAGGCAAATTTTCATTTTTGATTAGAACTAACATACCCTTTTTAGCCGGGAGAGAAGGGGTGTTCCACTTTTGACGTGATTGTAAATCACTTAAATATTCAAAATGCCATCTCTTCCAGTAAGATTGTATTATTTTATCAATTAATTGTTTTCGCGTCGGTAAATCTATTTGCAATATATTTTTTGATGGAAGGATATTTAAGGGAGTTAAAGTGAGGAAATGAGCTGGCGTAAGAGGTTGGTGATCACTTGGATCGGAACTCATCCAACATAATGGTCGAGAATTGAGAAGCGCCTCAATTTGGATTAACACGGTATTTAATTCCTCGTAAGTAAGAATTTGTTCACCTATTACTCGATATAAATGCGCTTTTATAGATTTTATGTTGGACTCCCACAAACCCCCGAAGTGGGGTGCGGCTGGCGGATTGAAAGACCAATTGATATTATGCTTGTGAAGTTCGGAGTTTAATGATGCACTAAATGTTTTTGAGTTAATAAGCTGAAATATATCTTTCAGTTCTGATTTGGCACCAACGAAATTTGTTCCGCGACCTGAATACAGACAAGAAACTGGACCTCTTCGTGAAATAAAGCGCTTAAAACAATTTGAAAACGTCGAAGTGGTTAAATCGGAGGCAAGCTCAATATGTATTGCCTTTGTGGAAAAACAAATCAATAAACAAATATATGCTTCTGAACTTTTTACGCCCCTAAATTTTCCCATGGTTACGCGAAAGGGACCAGCATAGTCAGTACCAGTGTGCTGAAAAGGTTTTGCCTCCATAACACGAGGAGAAGGTAAATCAGCCATAATAGGAGTAAAGGATTTAGGATTACTCCTAAAGCACCTATTGCATTTATGAATACGTTGGCGTACAATACTGCGAATGGATAAAATCCAGTATTTTTGACGAAGAATGGAAGTGAGTAAATGTGGACCAGCATGTAAATGTTTCTCATGATAATAATCAATTATTAAATTTATCACGTGATCCTTTTTGGGTAAAAGCAAGGGAAATTTATGATCAAAATTCAGGTTAGCATGTGTTAAACGTCCACTAACTCTTAAGAACCCATCATGTAAAAATAGTCGTAAAGTCCGATACCTTTTAGGAAACTTGTTCATTTTCAAACAATCAATTTCTTCGAAAAAATAGATTTGTTGGATAAGTTTGATTATAGTTAATTCGGCTTTGTTGAAATCTGAAAAATATATTTCACTTCTAGATGGAATAATTTTGCAGAAACGTAAAATAAATACAAATATTCTGCATAGTCTGGCCCATGAAGATATAGTGAAAGTAAATTCGTATAGATCATTTTTACAGGAGTTTGCCACTAAGCAAGATGAAACTTTTTCTTCTGGAACATTTTGCATGGAATCTAACGTAGAACGTATGGGCCATGACTTCTTTGAGAGTAAAGCCATGAGGGACCTGTGAACCAATTACTATTATTAAGCAATGTATTTGGTAATGAACCACGAGAAACGCAATCGGCAATATTTGCCTCGGAAGGAATATGATACCACTTGGCAGAAGGAAGTAAATCATGAACTTTCGTTACTCTATTTGCGACAAAAGTTTTCCATCTATGAGCTGGTCCTGTTAACCAATGAAGCACAATCATCGAGTCCGTAAAACCATATATTTCTTCGATACATAAAGAATGATGATTGGAAGATATGACAAAGGATAATAATTTTGCCAATAAATGCGCCGCACACAACTCTAACCTAGCTAAAGTTTGAACTTTAATTGGAGTAATTTTTGATTTTGAAATAAGAAGGTAATATTTATTATCATGGCAAGGCTTGATATAAATCACAGCCCCATAAGCCTTTTCTGAACTATCCGCAAAACCGTAAAGAGAACAACGAATATAATTTTTGGTACCTACAAATCGAGGAATGGAAAGATTAATTAATTCTGGAAGTTGATTATAAATATTAAGCCATGTTGCAACTAATGAAGAAGGTAATGGCTCATCCCAATCTAATTTTAATAACCATAGTTCTTTCATGATCATTTTGAATTTGATGGTGATAGGCGTAATAAAACCTAAGGGATCCCAAATACGAGCAATGGTGGATAATATATGACGTTTTGTCCAATTTTGATGGAGAAGGTTGATATTAAATTTAAAACAATCTTGAATTGGATCCCATCTCAATCCTAATACTTTAACCGACGTATCAAATTCAGAAATTGTTTGTGAAAAATTAATTTGTGTTTTATGGTGTGATTCAAATTGTTTATACATTAGACGATCATTCGAAGCCCACTTCGCTAGTTCAAAACACGCGGAACGGAACAAACTCGACAATTGAACGTAAAGTTGTTTTGCGATTTCGACGGTGTCTGCACTGGTAACCACGTCGTCGATATAAATATCATTTTGAATTATATCAGTGGCTAAGGGATAATTTTTGCTCTCATCTTTAGCTAGTTGTTTAATAGTGCGTAACGCATGAAAAGGAGATGACGTAATACCAAACGTGACAGTGTTTAATTCATAAATGCCGAGGGGATCTTCCGGAGAAAATCTCCAAAGTATCCTTTGAAATCGTCTATCTTGATCACGAATTAATATATTTCTATACATCTGTTTAATATCGGCCGTTAACGCAATTTCGCCAAAACGAAAGTTAAGAAGAATTGTGATAATGTTAGACTGTAGCTTTGGCCCGGAAAATAGGTTGGCATTCAGGGAAGGAAATTCAGCATTCTTTGCTGATGCATCAAATACAATTCGTAACGGTGTGGATGAGCTGTCTTTAATCACGGCAAAATGTGGAATATAATACCCTTCATTGGCTGCGGAATCATTTACATGACCTAAAAATGACATGTGTTTTTTTTGTAAATAATCTTGAATTACTTCTGAATATTGTTTATGGAATTCAAAAGATTTCCGAAATTTTTGTTCTAAAATACAATAACGCTTATGCGCGAGTTCATATGATTTCTGAAAATTTACATTAACGTTGTCACGAAATGGTAATGCGACCACGTAATGTCCATCGAAATTCCGTACTGTGGTGGACGTATAGAACTGTTCACAATAATCGTTTTCCGACACAATCATGTCAGGTACATCTTCTAACTCAAAAAATGTTTTCAATTGTTTAGATAAGGAATCATGTTCAATCGTGCATAGATTTGTCGAACTTGAATCAGGCGATGCAACGTTTGGAAGAGATCCCATTATTACATAACCCAATTTTGTATCCAATGCGATAGGTGAATCGACGGTTTTTATGTGATTTGACATAATAATAGCATTAAATACATCACAACCCAAGATTCCATTAACAGTTTGAGGAATAAAAAATTTATTATCCGCCAGTTGTAAAGATAAAAATTTATTAATGGACTCGAAGGGAATTTTAATGGTCGGTTGTGGTTTGACAATTTCATGTATTACATAGGCACATACAGACATTTGAAAGGAACAATCATTCGACATAATAATAAAATTTGCCATGCCCGTAATTTTTTGCGAAGAGTTACCTATAGAAATGACTTGAGCCTCGATCGGTGTTATCTCTAGTTGAGCGGATTTACAGAATGACTCAGTCACATAGTTGCGATCGCTTGCGGTATCAATAATGACACGTAACGGACTAGTTTTAATACCTGTTGCCAAAACATAAACAGTTGCGGTTGGCATAAGATTTATATGATGTGATAAATCTAATTCATTTACAACGCATAAAGTATTACTTTGATTGGAATCGAAACTTTTCTGTGTCGAATTTTTGGAAGGAATATCTGTTGGAACTTGTTTTGTATTGTCAACACAATTATTTGAATGTAATAAAGTATGATGTTTGGTATTGCAATACAGACATGTTTTCTTAGAATGACACGGACTGTTACGTTTATGACCCAGGCAATTCGAACAAAGATTCAGTCTCTTAATTGCCGACCATCTTTCATTGATATTTAATTCTAGAAATTGCGGGCATTTGAAAATATTATGACTTTTGTTGCATAAGTAACATTGAAACGATTTGACATTGCTGGTTATCAACGAATGAGAAATGTGGGTTTTCGAAACCTTCTCGCGCAAATCATAAATATAACTTTGACCTTTTTGCACTTTATTTATGAATTGTAATAATTCTTTATAGGAAGGATATTCGCCCTGAAAATAATTTTCAAATTTTTCCTGTAAATTGGTATCTAATTTGGATAGAGCGATTGATGTTAGTAAAAAATCATACAGGTCTGAAATATTTAATTGATTTAATGCTTGTACTGCAGTGTCAAATTTCTCGATAAAGTTATGCAACTGTGATGAGTTTACAGTTTTAAAAGACATTAACTGTTTGAAATAATGAATGCCCAGATAACGTTTATTTTCGTATTTGTTTATCAATGCTTCCCATAAAATTAAATAATTATTGGCGGTAGGTAAGATAGTATTGAAAATTTTCATTACTGGGCCTTCTAAGGCGCCCATTAAATAATGAAATTTGGATATAATGTCAATCTCGGGATTCTCATGTATAAGGGTTTTGAATGTTTCGTAAAATAGCGGCCATTTTTTGAAATCACCCGCAAATTTGGGTATTTCAATTGTTGGGAGACGGGATTTGGAAATAAATTTATATGGGGAATCTTCACTTTTTGTCAAAGAGGAAGTATTGTTTACATCAGAAATAGTTTTTTCAATGTATTTTATCTCCGCGTATAATTGTTCCACGGATAGAAGGGCAGCATAATCCGGTACGAAACTGGGATTTTCCAACGAGTTTAATTTATTAATTTCGTCGGTAAGTTTTATAAATTGTTCTCGAACGTTATCTAACATTATCAGGTTTGTACAGAATTGTTTCTTGCTTGACGCATCTTCCACATCTCTGCTCAAGTCATACGTCTTCTGTATAATGGAAAAATACATTTCTCGTTTGGAAATTAGACGTGCGACTTCAGCACTGGCAGATGCACTCTTGGGCGGCATTTTTAGGATTATAAGAAACTTGGAAATATAATCTTACCTCGATATCCGTTAAATGCAAATATATCATGCAAACTCTCAATCTTAATTGAGATCCGGCTCGAAGGACCAAAATGTGGTGTGGCCTTGATTCGATCAGTAGACCACACGGATGGCTGGTAATCGTGGACTGTATATGGAAACTAAAAACGTTCTTCTTCTATGATAATAACAAACTAAAAAATGACCTCACTTTGGTCAATAAAAGGAAACTCAACAAAACTTCTAAACTCGACTGACTCGGAAGGAAACTCGAAAATGAACCAAAGAAAGAAAGCCAGCTGTAAGCGTACTGATAACGCACTGGAATCGAATTGAATACGGAACTAGATAGAACCCGAACTGAAAATGCACTGGAAGCGAAGTGAACTGGAAATCAACTCGAATGGAATGAACCACGTGTCGGAAGTCATAGGTCAAAGTTTTGGAAGGAAAGAGACAGGTAGTCTGGATTAGAAAGGAACAAATCGGTTGGCATATTGTAACCCCGAGATGGCGACTATATTATTATTATCGACGCATGTAATAGTCAGTGGCGTCACCAAATTTATTAAATAATAATTTCCACAAACGTTTCGAGACTAGGTTTGTCTCATCATCAGTGTGTTATAATTAAAAAAAAAATTTAAAATATGGAAATCTAAATTAGCATTTTGTGTTTTTCATTACAAGTCGTTCACTGCTCGCTGCTCTTTTAATACCAACGGTCTTCGGTGTTTCTCTCCCACTTGAAAACCACTTGAAATTGTAATGTCACGCAATCAGATAGGAAGAAAGGATTAGGGTCCAGTTGAAAAATAGATGTCGTTAGGAGAAAAAATATTCTATGATGAGATGGTTTGTTTATAAGATTTGTTATACATTGTTATAATTAAAAATGTATGTACATCTATATATAAGCTACAAAGTATTAATGAGATTCAGATATGTATCATGTAATATATTGGTATCTGTCCGTAAATTTACTGTGTTACTTGTATGGGCTATTAACATCGATTCTGCAATACTTCTTTTAAATAAATCTTGTTCATAATATAAAATGTGCGGATTATTGAAATCGAAACTATGGCTGTTAGAGATCTCATTAATACTTTGTAGCTTATATATAGATGTACATACATTTTTAATTATAACAATGTATAACAAATCTTATAAACAAACCATCTCATCATAGAATATTTTTTCTAATGGTAGCATTTGCTCCAGGATGCGACAAACCATGTAGGCTATTGAATATAGCACGGCGAAATCTTCTTGGTATCACCGGCCGAATGATTGGTTGAGATACATCGCACAATAACGATGTTCCCAATTCTTCAATAAAAAATGGTCAGAATGTAATAACAATTGTGCCACGTCTATATCCTTATGTTGTTCATCTGCAATCGCCTTAAAATCTAGATCACATTTGTTAACTATCTCTATACGGGATAAAGCATCTGCTACCACGTTATCTTGACCCGATACATGTCTGATGTCAGTCGAAAATTGACTAACAAAATCAAGGTAGCGAAACTGTCTCGGCGTACACTGGCTATCTTTCTTTTTAAACGCGTAAGTGATAGGTTTATGATCAGTATATATCACAAATTCTCTTCCCTCTATCATATGTCTAAAAAATTCTACAGCGTCGTAAATTGCAAGGAGTTCACTGTTGTAAGTCGAATATTTTCTTTCTGTTGCATTCAATTTTCTCGAGAAAAAAGCTAATGGCCCCATGCACCATAAATTCGTTGCTGCAACACCGCTCCTATAGTGTGGTCGGAAGCATCACAAGCTATAGCTAGAGGAGCGTTTAAACGCGGGTGCATCAATAACGTTGCTTCTGCTAAATTTTTTTACACTTTTCAAACGCTTTCTCCATATTTGAATCCCAATTCAATTCAGCATTTTTCTTCACATTACCACACAACTTGTTGGTTAACGGCACTTGTGTTTCTGCGGCTTTCGAAATGAAGCGTCGGTAAAAATTTAATATACCTAAAAATTGACGTAACTGTTGTACCGTCTTAGGCCTTTCGTAATTTTGTATAGCTAGTATCTTGTCTGCTAAAGGTTTAGTTCCGTTGGCTGAGACTTCATATCCTAAAAACTTTACTTTTGGATGTCCGAAGACACATTTTGCTGGATTGACTACAACACCGAATTCTTGCAACTTCTTGAATACACTATGTAAATGTTGCATATGCTGTTCGTGCGATTCCGATGCAACCAATATATCATCGATGTATGCATAACAGAAGTCCAAACCTCGCAAAATTTCATCCATGAACCGCTGAAAAGTTTGCGCTGCATTGCGTAAGCCAAACGTCATAAACGGAAATTCGAATAGCCCGAAAGGCGTAGTGATTGCAGTTTTTGCAAGGTCTTCCTGAGCTACAGGGATTTGATTGTAAGCTTTTACTAAATCAATAGTAGAAAATATCACCTTACCACATAATGCTTGCGCAAAATCATGGATATGGCGAACTGGGTACCTATCCGGTTGAGTCCGCGCATTTAACCTGCGATAGTCTCCACAAGGTCGCCACCCAGAACCTTTTCGTACCATATGTAAAGGCGAAGACCAACAGCTCTTGGACGGTCGTGCTGTCCCTGCTTTAATCATTGCTTCGAACTCATATTTAGCAACTTATCTGGTGCAAGGCGACGTGGTTTATGTGCTATGGGTGGTCCTGATGTAGTTTCGATATGATGTTGAGAAACAAGTTTGCACACTCCTAATGCAGTCTGCCGTGTTAGGTCTGGATATTCCTCTAAAATTTTATCATGTGAATACAATGTGGCTGTCATCATTTTAATAGAAGGTATTATTCTATTTTTCGATTGAAGTTGTTCCGTTGAATCTGCAGAGGTTTCAACTAATATACGTTTTTTAACATCAATCGCGAGATTGAAATAAGCAAGTAAATCTACACCAATAATAGGACGCGACACCTCTGCTATCACGAAATTCCATGATAAGATTTTGCTAAGTCCAAAATCTAACTTTAAAGATAACATACCGTATGTAGCTATTGGTGTTCCATTTGCTGCTGAAATCTCAAATGAACATTTCTTACGGGGACATCTCACTAAACTGCGCGGGTACACACATACATCGGATCCAGTGTCTATCAGAAAACTCACATTTGTCTCCTTATCTGTGATGAAAATGCGGCGTGAGTTATTTGGGCGTTTGTCACTAGTCGCCATTAGTGAACGCCCGTATCGTTTCCCGACTTAAAATTACATGGCGATATACACCTTCTCGCATGACTTCCGTAGCGTCTATGAAACCAACATAAGTTATCTTGTCGTCTTCTAAACGACACTTTCTTCTTTTGAAACATTTGGATCTTATCCAAACGCTTTGAAGCAGCTTCTATATCTTGACGCATTTGACGCAGATCAGCATTCTTTGTTTCAATCTCAGAGGTTTGTGAATCTGAAATCACAGCTACACGTTGCTGTGAATGGTTAATAAATAAGCGGTCAGCTAGTTCACCTTCCTCTTGTATTGACTGTGTTCCAGAAGCAACCTCCAAAAATGGTTGAATTTCCACTGGAAGTCTGGATAACCATATTGCTTTAACTGCGTTATCGGTTATTTAAGTCCCGACTAAAGTCCTCAAATGACGTAGGTATTGAGATGGCGTCCTATCACCCAAGTCTACATCCGTCATAAACAACTGCAACTTTGACTTCTCCGAAGTGCCTAATCTTGAAATTAACGTAGCCTTTAATGTAGAATAAGGCTTCTCTTCAGGCTCATTGATTATCAAATCTCGCACTTTGGTTGAATGTCTAATATCCAATCTGGTAACCAATAATCCATATTTCTCCTTCTCATCGTGGATATTGGAAGATGCGAATGCCTTCTCCACCAAAGCAAACCAAAGTTGCAAGTCATTTGGTATAAATTCCGGAATGTGCAGTTTGTGGCAGCTAAAATGTCCGTGTTGGCGCGGCATAATATCAAACGACAGGGGTCACCACTATCGGAAATCAAATAAATTGCCGATTATAAAATATTTATTCTTTAATACCGTGATAAATTTCATAAATTTATCTGAACAAAATTTTACATTCTCAAAACAAATGATTCAACCAAAACTCAATGTCAATTATTATTTTTCTCTCGCTTACTAAAATTGACGCGACCTGCCAATCTCCCACACTTTATTTATCCATACGCTTCGGTCTTCATCGAGTCCGTCATTCAGTGGAAAAACTGAAAGATTTTATATAATGTAGGAGGAAAATAATATAAAGTTATAGAACTCATATATAAATACTTACAGGAAATTAATTATACAAAAATACACTACACTATTACACTGTGATAAACCAAGCTATTAATAACTGGAACATTGAAACTAATTATTTTTGACAATTTTTGGTTACATTCTAGTGGGTACAGATTAACTAACGTCTAAATACTGAATGAATTGTGTTTACAAATTTTGCGAAAGTGTAAAAATACTGGTAAACATATGTTTTTAGTAAAATAATACAATAATAAAATGCACGCTTCATTCAGATATGGTGGTGTTTTGAAAAATGGTCAAGGATTATTTTATAGTCATTGCAAAGCGAATTGTTGTCCGTTCTTTTATTCATGGCCGCCTCATTGTGTAAAGATATTAGGCATACCTCGCTAAATCTTTTTTTAAATAAATTGTTTTCGAAATGTAGGATCGCGGAATTGGAAAAATTTATGTTATGATTGAGTTGATTAATGTGATCGGTTAGTTGTGTTTTATACTGGTTATTATTTTTAGAGTTGTTTTTATGTAGTGATGTTCTTTTGTGCAAGTTCTGACTGGTCTCACCTATGTAAACGCAAAAACAATCTAGGCAATTAAGTTTTTAAACTAAATTACCTAGGATTCTTGGGTTAAATTTCGACTTCAATTTTATATAAAGAGTTGAAAGGGTGTTTTCGGAAGTACAAACCATTCTAATATTATTTTTATTGAAAAGCTTTCTCCACAGGTAATGTAATTCTTTAATGAAAGGTAAACTTATAGTTCCGACGTAGTTTTCATGGTTTCGATTTTCAATTGAATTATTGTGACGGTTTTTGATATGTAGGATTCTATTTTTAACTTCCCGAAGGAAAAGTTTATGTTTTCATAAAAAAATTCGATTCGCTAATTTTATGTTTTCTCGACGTTTCAGGCCATTCTGAATCGAATGAGACCAAATTTGGAAAAAGTATATGTGTGTATGTGTGTGAGAGTGTGTGTGTGTGCGTGTGCACCAACAGATTTTTTGCCGTAAATTGCCGTTTTCTCAAAAAACGGCTGGACCGATTTCAAAAATTTAAAAGCCATTCGATGTATCTCGATGAGGCCTATTGTTTGTCATTGTTATTGTTTTGTGCGACGATCGGCCAAGCCGTTTCTTCGTAAATAGCAGAGAAATGAAAAGTTTTTCGTCCACGTTTTAGCCCGCAATTCTGAATCGATTTTGAAAATTCAAAAATCGTTCGAAAGATATTGGTTGGTAATCGACCTGATTAGTTTTTGGTAGAGATCGGCGGGGCCGTTTTCTTGTAATAAAGTTTAAAAAAAAAATTTCGACGATTTTTATGATTATTTTTTTGACGGTAGATACCATAGTCTTCTAGATCATACTAAAATATTACGGCCCTACGACAACTGGTTCAGCTTTAAAAATTCGTCAAAGTTTGCAAAAATTGGTATCGTTTTTTTGGCATTTGTCAAAATTAGAGCTTTGATCGACGTTTTCTCAAAAACGCCTGAACCGATTTTAGAAATTTAAAAGCCATTTGATGTATTTTGGTGAGGACTATTGTTTGTCAGTTTTGTGTGACGATCTGCCAAGCCGTTCCTTTGCAATTTGAAAAAAAGTGTTAAACGTTTCGTCCACATTTAAGCTTATCCTACCGAACCGATTTTAAAAAATCAAAAACTGTTCGAAAGATATTAGTTGGGAATGGTACTGATTAGTTTTAGGTGAAAATCTACCGAGCCGTTTTCTTGTAATTAACTGTTGAAAAAAAATTAAGCCGATTTTTATGGATTTTTTTTAGCGATATATATCATGGTCTTATAGAACTTACTGAACTATTACGGCCTTACGACAAATAGTTTAATTTTAAAAATTCATCAAAATTTGAGAAAATGAGTAGTTTTTCTGACATTTGTTAAAATTAAAATTAGACTATTTACTTGGTATAATGATAGAGTACTTGGTCTTGAACATAATAAACCACTAAAGTCCTGGAAACTGGTTCAATTATGAAAATTATTGATTTTTGAAAATTTGCTTTTAGAAAATACTCCGAGTCAAAGTGTTCGTTCGTTTTCAATTATTTGTGATAAATCCACTCGGAATACTTTTATTCAGTCATAAATTAATTTATTTTTTATTGATTAAGTCGATTATTTAAACATATCGGGAAGTTCATGTAACTTGCCTCAAGGCTAAATACCAAACCACCTAGTTTGTTATTGATTGGATGAGGTGTTGTGGATAGGCGTTGTTGGTTAGAATTTGTGAAATGAGAGAGGGATTCTCTCTTAAAAATTTACTGTGTGATAATAATAATGCGTGGTCTATTAAGTTTATGATTGTGCCTATTTTAATAGAGAGGGGGTGGTAAGAATGGTAATTGAGATAACGGCCTGAGTATGTAAACCAACTAACTCTGGACGTTACCTTAATTATTTTTCTTATCATCCACTCAAAATGAAAATAGGTACTATAATAAATCTAACTAACCACGCAATACTTCTATCGGACAAAACATTTTGGGACAACAACATCAATTTAATTATGAAAATTCTAACAGATAACTCCTATCCCTTAAAACTTATAAACTCCGTAACCAGTAACAGACGAACATACCTTTTGAATAAAATGAACAATTCTACAGTACAAAACGATTAACCTGACTCAGAAACTCTTTCTGGTGTGATATGTTTGCCATACATTAAAGAATTGTATGTTTCTTGGAAAAAACTTTTTTATAAATCTGGACTCCGACTTGTAAACAATTTTAGTACAACGACTAGTACTATTTTTACCAAAAGTAAAACCTTATTATTACTAATATCGAACGACTTAGAAGTCTCGCCTATCAAATTAGTTGTCTAGATTGTAATTTAATTTACATAGGAGAAATAAGCCAGAACTTAATTAAACGTTTACAACAACATAAAAATAATTTAAAAAATCCGAAGCAATTTAAAACTATGATAGTAGAGCATATTTATACTTTAAAACACAATATGGACTTTTCTAACCCGACTGTACTACAATTCGAACAAAATTTATTCAAACGTAGAATTATAGAAGGATCTTTTTTAACTATTTACAGCAATAAAACAATAAATAAACGGAATGAACTTAACGCGCTGTGCGACACAAATCTCTTTTATTAACTTTCCGAAGGAGAAGTTTATGTTTTCATCAAAAATTCCGATTTGCTAATTTTATGTTTTCTCGACGTTTCAAGCCATTCTGAATCGAATGAGACCAAATTTGGTATGTGTGAACAGATTTTTTGCCGTAAATCGAAGCTTTCTCAAAAACGGTTGGACCGATTTCAAAAATTTAAAAGCCATTCGATGTATTTCGACGAGGACAAGTATTTCTGAGTTTTGTGTGACGATCAGTCGAGCCGTTTCTTTGTAAATCGCAAAAAAGTGACAAAATTTTCGTTCACGTTTTAGCCCGCAATTCTTAATCGATTTTGAAAATTCAAAAACCGTTCTAAAGATATTGTTTGGGAATCGTGCTGATTAGTTTTTGGTGGAGATCGGCCGGGCGGTTTTTTGTAATAAAGTTTTTTCAAAAAAAAATTCGACGATTTTTGTGATTATTTTTTTGACGGTAGATACCATAGTCTTCTAGATTATACTAAAATATTACGGCCCTACGACAACTCGTTTAGCTTTAAAAATTCATCAAAAATTTGCAAAAATTAGTACCGTTTTTTGGCATTTGTCAAAATTAGACCTTTGAAACGACGTTTTTTCAAAAACGCCTAAACCGATTTCAGAAATTTAAAAATTCAATGAGGGCTATCGTTTGGTGAGACGATCTGCCAAACCGTTTCTATGTAATTTGAAAAAAAGTGTTAAACTTTTCGTCCACATTTAAGCTCAAACTACCGAATTGATTTTAAAAAATCAAAAACTGTTCGAAAGATATTAGTTGGGAATGATACTGATTAGTTTTAGTTGAAAATCTACCGAGCCGTTTTCTTGTAATTAACTATTGAAAAAAAAATTTAAGCCGATTTTTATGGAACTTTTTTCGGCGATATATATCATGGTTTTATAGAACTTACTGAAATATTACGGCCTCGCACTATAAAGGTCTCGCACTCCGCAAGGTTTATAGCTAAGAAAATTAGTGGTGCATGGCATTGTGCCTTAATGCAAAGTACTGGAACTTCACGCACCGTAATCAAAAATTCGAGTAATGAAAATAATCAACAATTGTTTTAAATAATTTCAAATAGATTATCTTCTTCTTCTGTATATATATATATATATATATATATATATATATAAATAAGTCGGGTTTTCCTTCCTGACGAAATAACTCCAGAACGCACGAACCGATTTCGATAATGTTGCATTCGTTGGAAAGGTCTCGGGCTCCGCAAGGTTTATAGCGAAGGGTGTGATACTATGAAACCACCCCGACGGGTGTGATATCATGAGAACGCGATGTCGTGGGGTGTTAACCATATGCTTATGTGAAGAATGTTTAATATTAATAATTATAATCTACGCTTTGTAGTACCACAAAGACTATATTTTATTGAAATAAATAGACATTATAAAATAATGTTATATGTATTAATATATTCCAATTCAAAATCACAATTTTACAAAAATAACAATATTGTTACAAATGACTACAAATATGTGTGTATGTGTATGTATATATATATATATATATATATATATATATATATATATCTTATATA